CTAAGCAGGGTCAGTACTTGGATGGGAGATCACCAAAGAAGGCTCTGCAGAGGAAGGGGGTGGCAAACCACCTCCACTTCTCACTTACCATCAAAACCCCTTGCTGCGACTTAAATAGCACTTATGTATATACATATTCTACAGAAAAGACAGATAAGGCCAAATTGCAATGATGTAACATATAAAACCCACAAATACTTCAGCACTGGCCTTTTATGGACCTCTAAGAATGCTTTCACAAAGATGGCCAAGACCAGCATCCTTCTTTCCTCCCAGTGAGTTGTATACTTCAGGCAGCACCCATTTACATACACTTAAGGAAGCGGCCATTTTTAATTCTGAACACTGCAGCCACCAGATTTTACCTTGGGACAAAATTCAAGACAAATGTGGATGTGCTTCCTTAGTCAAAATATCCAAAGAATTCTGAGGGGAAGAATTATTATTATTTTTTAAAAAAAAGTTTTGCATGACTTCAGTCTTTTCTGGGCACGGTTTGCCAGCCTTCTGTTTTAACCCTTCATTTAACTTGAATTGTACGTTCAATGAGTTAAACAGACTTTTCCAGATAGTTCACAAGCTAAATGTTACACAACATGTAAATTTGTTGTTGTTGTTCAGTCGCACAGTCGAGTCCGACTCTTCGCGCCCCAATGGACCAGATCACGCCAGGCCCTCCTGTTTCCCGCCGTCCTCTGAAGTTTGCTCAATTTCATGTTCGTTGGATCTATGACACTGTCTAACCATCTCAACCTTTGCCGTCCCCGTCTTCTTTGACCTTCAGTCTTTCCCAGCATCAGGGTCTTCTCCAGTGAGTGCTCCCTTCTCATTTCGTGGCAAAGTATTTGAGCTTCAGTTTCATTATCTGGCCTTCCAGGGAACAGTCAGGGTTGATTTCTTTTAGGTTTGACTGATTTGATCTTCTTGCAGTCCAAGGGACTCTCAAGAGTCTTCTCCAGCACCACAGTTCAAAATAATCTATTCTTCGGCGCTCGGCTTTCCTTATAGTCCAACTCTCGCAGCCATACATGTAATACATACGTACATGTAAATACCAATTTTCAAATCAAAGGTATAAAGACTGTGGGGACAGCAGTGGCGTTTGGAAGAAAAGTTTGTTCTTACCAGAAGGTGAAGAGGGCCACGATGCCAACTGTAACAAACAGCTGAACCATAAGGATGGTGTAAACCTAAAAACAAAAAAAATCAGGGTGCATATTAGCCTGGCAGATGGTCAAAACAAGAATGTGATCATGATCCTTTTTATGGGGCGCAACTTTTGACTGCTCCCTACTTACAACATGTTTGGGGTTTTAGTTATTTTAGTAGACAAATGCCTTTCATTCTGATGCAGTGTACAGAGGCTCGTATTTGCATGGATCCCTTGGGGTGAATGCCTTTGAACCTTCCTACCCCTCAATGGTGGTGACTGGACACACAGGGGCAAAAGTTACGTTTTGCTGTCCAGCACAGCAGGATTCCCAAGTGGAGTACTTTTTCTTCCCTACAAGAATATCTGCTTTTCTTTATATGGGAGAAAATCAAGCAGTAGACTCAGAGTTCAAACAGACGAGATGAAGATCACGCATCTGTCCATAAAATAAAAACTGCAGGCTTGTACAGCCTGCAATTTGCCTTGGGGCGGTGCAAGGAAAGGAGAGGGAGTTTAGCCCTTCAATGTCCACTTGTTTTCACTATTCAAAGCCAAGCCCCCCAACTGGCTGTTAGAATTTTAGAGAAGAAAATAGTTTGCCTGTTAAAAACACATCTTTGCTCATTTAAAAAAATGCTAATAGGGACACCATATTTTGGGAGGTGGTGAGCTAGATCTGCAGACATGGCATGAAATCCATTAGAAATCAAGCTTTCCTGTCTGACTGGCCCCAGCTTGACCTAGGTTTCTTTTAAAATTATTGCAAAATAAAAGCAAAAGACAACACACTATGCAATATACAAGCTTTGAAAGCCAATTAAAAGCTGCCTAAGGCATTGTTTCATCCTGAAATTTTCTGACTTCAGTTCCTTGGTGACGCCAGAGCAGGCGTCCCCAATAGGGCTGCCAAGTGGAGGCGGGTGGCGGGTAAACCCCTGCTTTGGAGGCCCGATTTCTGCTGCCGTGGAATCGGGCCCCGGGGGGAACCCCACCCTGGCGTGCGCGTTACCAGGAAGTGACGTTATGACGCCGGGCATGCTGGGGCAGGGCCACGACCATCCGAGGAGAAACTCTATGGTTTCCCCTCAAATGGTCGTGGCCCCGTCCCCAGCGTGCCCAGCGTCATAACGTCACTTCCTGGTGACATGCGTGCGGTGCGCACGTGCGCTCCGGGATCCACCCGGCAGTCCCCCGCTGCGGAGGTAAGCTATACTGGGCAACCCTGGTCCCCAACCATTTTGAGCCTGTGGGCACCTTTGAAATTCTGACCTGGCATGGTGGCAAAGCAACAAAATGGCTGCCACAGGAGGCGGAGCCAGCCACAAAACAATTGCCACAGCTTAACTCCAGTAACACAGTGCACAGATTTTAAAAAATCTGCAGAGCCAATCAAATCTACAATAGTCAATCAGAAGTCCTGCTGGGCAAAAGCCCTACCTGGCCCCTCCCACTTTCTAAAAGCACTTGGAGGGTGCCAGAAAAGGTGTCTGTGGTGCCCACTGGCATCACGTTGGGGACCTCTGCTTCAGGGTATATAGGCCTGTTTAATGGTAGTCCATGTATTATGTTTAGAATCACTGACCACTGACACAGGTATTCTCATGTGATTCTAGGGGTGAAGGAGGAGCCTCAGCAACTGTGATCTTATGAGTCTGATGAAATCATCCTACAGAACTCTTGAGTGGCAGCTGAAGTGATGACTTTGCATCCAGGTGGTGTGCATGCAGACAAAAGTCTTTTTATCACCTGGTGATATGGAATTGTGCTGAGCCAAAGCAGGATACGAATGAAACCGGATGCCCAGCTCCACTGTACGTGGAGAGGGGGGAGAAGAGTCCAAGTGCAACACACCCTCAAAGAATTCTTGCAAACAGAAACCCTCCCTCCACGCATGATACCACTGGATTTATTATTTTATTTATTTATTGGTTTAATTTATACCCCACCCTCCCCACAAAGCAGGCTCAGAGCGGCTCACATCAAACAATACACAAGTTAACACATAAATACAATTAAAACAGTTCAAGTTGTAAATTCAGATTTATAAAGTGCTGGTGATGATCAATTAATTATTTACGATGGCGTACTTTGAAAAATGTGCCCATAGATCTAACAGTCCTTCTGCTCACGATCTTTCTGAAACAAGGGCGGCATAGGCTAGATGTCAAAACCAAGGGCCAGGACTCTATAGTGGCCACGGCTCTGTAGTGGCGGCGGCTCATTAGGTTTCCCAAATGTAATGCTAAACTGTTATCTGTTTAATGGTGTTTGGATTATTATTGTTAGCACCTTTTAATGTTGTAGTTATATGGTTTTATGATCATTATACTATTTATTGTTATTTTTATGCTGTTCTGAGCCTCCCTGAGCCGGCCATGGCTGGGAGGGCAGGGTATAAATGTAATAAATAAATTAAATAAATAAATATTTGATTGACCAAGATACTCAAATGTCAGTTCTCCACCTTCTCCCGAGGAAGTAGCCAGGGCTGTAGCACAACTGACACACCTGTTAAGTTCAACAAGGAGCGAGGGCTGCCATGGCCATCTTTTTTAATGGCATTACCTTCCTGATGAACACCCTGCGTACATTCTTGTCATCCCAACTAAAGGTTGTGAGCATCTCAGTGTCCCCTGGGTATCCTCCATTTCCATAGTTAGGGCTTGTACCTGAAAATGATGAGAAACAAGATGTGTTAAGTTTTGTCCAGTGACTTCCACAGAGTCATGCCGTATTTTTAGTCATTCCTGCCCACCCCACCCCCCAGCACTGTAGGCTATATGTACTGTTGCCACACATGGTCAGGAAGACACTAGTCTTTTGTGAGTGTGAATATGGCTCACTTTCCAATTCAAGCCCCCAAACATAAACTAGGCTGAGCTTATGGAACATATCCTATTTCCACTGCCTCTCACTCCTAAACTAAAAGACCTCCTGGTTTAGGTTCTATACCTACGAATGACTCATCAAGGTCATGGCCCAGCGCTCAAGTGTATTGGGAAATAGTACCCAAAACAATTTTTGAGATATGGGGATTGATCCTTAATTTGAAACCTGAGATTTATCTCATAATTTGTGTCAATATCATAGCTATTGATCCCAGAGGTGTACTGCTATATACTAAGACCTCTCCTAGGGTGGTATTTGTATGTTTTTGGAAACAACCAATGCTGCCTGGCAAATTAGAATGGTTCTTAAAGATGTGAGAATTACCAACTTCCGGTTTATGGCGACACGCAGGTAGCTACATCTCCCGGATGTCCTGGGGATGCAAACTGCACACCAGCGTGTAGAAGGGGGTGCGACGGGTCATGACCCCCCCCGGAGCCTTGGTAAAAGGCTCCTAGCCAGGGGGCTTTTGAGGGCTTACCTCTTCAACGGCGCGATGCCGGAGAATTGAGGCGCTCCTCCGCCCCAAAGGTCCTGCTGCTGAGTGACCGCATGGTACAAGTGCTGCTGACTGGGACAAGCGTCGGAGATCGGGTGAAAAAAACGATGCCGAGCGAGGCCGGTTGGCCAACAACAAACTGTGAGTCAGATTGAAGCGAGCATGAAGAAATAAAAAGAAAGCTGCCCCCCTTAGAGAGTGATGGAAAGCGAGCGGGGGAGGGGCCCCTCCCAAACGCATAAATGAAAACACGGAGATAAAGAGGGGGGAGTGGGAAAATACGCTGGTAAATCTGTTTTAAGAGACTTACCAGAGCGCAGATAAGCGTATGGGCAAATATCAGAGACTTTAGCAACTTTTAAGAAAAGTAAACAATCCAAAATGATGGCGGGGAAGAAACCAGATAAAGACAAACTGTTGAAAGTGAAACTAGTGGGCAGTCCTCGAACGGAAGAGACCACTGAGCTTTCTAAACTGTTGGCAGATTCCTTGCACCCTCTGCTGGAGGAGATGACTAATATCAAGCAACAATTGTCAACAATTGGTCAGCGCTTGGCTTCACAGCAGCTACAATTGACTAAATCTCTAAATGCAATGGAGCAAATGGCAGAGAAGATGAAGGAAATGGCCGCCAATACTACAAAAGTCAAGAAAAAGGTGCAAAAGCTGGAAATGAAACAAGTTACAGAAGAGTCACAACTTTTGCAGCTGCAAATGGAGAAAGCAAATTTGGTCCTACGGTTCCAAGGGGTCCCGGAAAATAAAGGAGAGAATCTGAAGCAGTTGCTGAGTGATGCAATAGCCCCATTGTGGAGGGCGGAGCCAAGCGGCTAATGGAGGACGCATAAACTTGAGGCTCCCGACTTCTCCCTAAAATTGACTCGAAGTCGCTTTTTCGGATCATTAATGCCCAGAAGAAGCACCAGAAAACTGACCGGGACCCGGACAGAAACAATTTGGCAAGAAAAAAACTCAGTTAAAGCTTTTTTTAAGGCTCCAAAGACTCCAGAGCCTACAGCTCCAACTTCAACAACCGCGGACAAAATGGCGCCAGAAAAAAACAACGAGAAAGACACAGACGCACCAGAAAAAGCTCCTCTGACAAGGAATGATCTGAGAGAACTCAGAGAGGACTTGTTAAAATCTATGTCATCATTAGTGGCTGATCTGATCCTTCCAGTGCAATTGTCTATTAAAAACATGGTGCAAGAACTAAAGGAAATTTCCAAAACTGCTGACAATGCCACAGAAATGGCGTTAACACTTCAAGACGAGGTACGTACATTACAAACATCTGAACAATCAACTTTAAATAGACTGGTTATTCTAGAAAATAAATGGAGACAGTGTAACCTCAAATTTCGGGGGTTTAATGTAGGGGAGGAAGGAAATAATGATCTTCCAACATTTATGTCGGAATGGATAGCTGAAATACTTAGTTTAGAGGAAGGACGCAAACCGGCCATTGTAAAAGCACACAGACTGGGGCCCCTGGCAATGGCGCGAAATGGAAGACCGAGGGACATCCTTGTCCAATTTGTACAGGGGTGGCGAACACGCGGCTCTCGAGCCGCATGCGGCTCCCGGCCAAAATTAATGCGGCTCTTTGCCTCTTATCATCATTTTGTATATTGTGGCTCTGTCGCGTTCCTCCTTGGTCTTGGGGTGGCGCCCCCAGTGGCCGTTGTGGCACGACGTGAGTGGGCCCCATGAGGAGCGGCGTGGCTCTGGAGGCGAGGGTTTGGAAAAGACAGGGTAGAAGAGGACCTCAGAATGGCAGGGGGCGGGGTTGACGTCACCCCGAGCGCCCCTCTGCCGACACTCCCGCACGACCTCTGGCACGCTCCGTCTCTCTTTCTCTTCTCTCGCTCTCTGCCAGTCGCTCCGTGTCGCTCCTCCCCGGTCCCTTCTTACGCCCGCCTTTTATTTCCTCCCCCCTCCCACTCCCGGGCCACACCACTCTTCCACTCCCAGCCCCGCCCCCCTTTAACAGAGGAGACGCGCGCCGCCGGGTAGACGCCCACCGGACACGCGCTCCCTGTATCTGGGGAGGTTCGGCGTTGGGGTGCTGCCTCCCTCTCCCGGTCTTCGGCGCTGGCGTCGGCCGGTAGGTCGGGGTGTGGGGAGTTCCTCGGGGCGTCGGGGAGTTCCGAGGCCGGCTGCTCGTCGCCCGCGACCCTCGGAGCGGGACAGGCTCTTTGCCAAGTTTGGATTTTTTTATGCTGCTTCTGAGGAGGGACCCATCACTCCAACAAGGTAACAAAAAACACCTGACTGAGCATGTTATTATGTGTTTGATATATTATTGTTAAAAGTATATGCTTTTGTGTGAGTGTTTGTCTGTTTTGGCAGGTCACTGCGTGGTGTGGCTCTGACTCTCACAGTTTAAAATTTTGGCTCTTTTTGTCGAACTTGTTCGCCACCCCTGAATTTGTATATCAAAGCACGAGAGACAGAATATTACGACTAGCACGATCAAAGGACTCATTGCATTTTCATGATCAAAAAATTATAGTTTTACTAGACTTATCACCTGAAGCACTAGAGGAGAAACCTTAAACTGATAACTTCTAAACTGAATACTGCAAAAATCAGGTTCTGGTGGAGTCCATCATCGGACATATTGGTTTACAAAAAGGGCCTGCAATATCAAGCATCTGATAACATCACGGGGAGAGCACTCTTGAAAGCTATGTCGGTGAAAATGTCGGCTGAAGAAGAACAAGAACTTACAGGAGAGTAAACTTTAAGTTGACTTTTATTGTAAACTGTAAACATGAAAGCTTGAATTTATGAAGGTTAAAGTGAATTATTTCTTTTAGAGTGGTTCTTGAAGTTTAATTAAATCATTGCCAGTCTATGAATATGTCAGAGAACGATATATGGAAACAGAGACTGGAGAACCTTTTTGAAATGTGTTATTATTTTGAATGCTATTAAGCAGTTAAATGGTAAAATTGAAAAGAGAAATTATAGTTATATGTCTATGGACACATCTTTTATTTTAGTAAACAGATATTGAGAAAATTTATTAAGTTCTTTATATTAAAATGTTAAAAGAGAGTTGGTAATAATTGAAAATGCTTCTGGAAAACCTATTTTATATAATGATATATGGTTTATATAGTTATTACATTAATCCATATTATGGAGTGCATAGAGAAAAATATAACGATATAGGGCTGTTATACGTATCTTGATAGAAATGTAACTAAAAAGGCTAAGACATTTGAACTTAGGAGGGAAGAAGGAGGTAGAAAGTAATACTTTTTTTTTGCATAGTTCAATTTGAAATCCCCTTTTGAATATGTTAGGGTTTCTAGCTAGGGAGACAGACTGGAACTCCCTATAGGTCTGTCTTTTGAAGTACAGACCTCTAGATCCTAGCCCTCTGAGTTTTTCTTTCTATATTGGCTTTATTTGATTGTTAATGTTTTGTTTTTTTCTTTTCCTTTTTTCCTTCTCTTTTTCTCTATAAAGAGGGCTATAGAGATACAAGTTGAGCGGCATTAGAAAATATTTAAATACGAATTTTTTGTATTGTTAGGGTAGTAGGAAAGTTTGTTGGTGTTAAAATAGGTTTCTTAGGTGTTACAGTTTTCAGTGATTGTTCCTGCAATTGTCTAGAAGCATTATACCAGACTATAACCTAGAGGTGCAATGACACAGCATTTAAAAATAGCCTTGTGGAATGCCAGAGGTTTGAATAATAAAATTAAACTTAGAAGGACTTCAAACTATTGGGCTAAAGAAAAAGTCAACATCTTATGTATCCAAGAGACACATTTAAAGAGAGTGAATGGTAAGGTCTTAAAAACACGTGGTTTGAACAACAATATCAGGCCACAGGGTCGTCAAAAGCAATAGGCACAGCTATATTGATTTCAAAAAATGTTCCCTTTATTTTTCTATCATCAAAAATTGATTCCAGGGGGAGATATATTTTTATTCAAGGAAATCTAAATGGAGAACCCCTCACCATTGCATCAATTTATGCTCCCAATATTGAACAGCTGCCATTTCTTAAAGAAACACTTTAAGATCTTATGGAATTTAAAAAAGGAGAGGTCCTTATAGGAGGTGATTTAAATTATATTATAGATATAATTTAATAAAACACATAAAATAAAATTTCACAACCAATAGCCCCATTGACAGATTTGACAGCAGAATATTTGTACAGCGAGATGGATGTGGTCTATAGGTCCTATTCTTTATATATCAAGAAAAATAATCTGCCTGGGGAAATAGTAGTCAGATTCTCGAAGAGACATGTAAGAG